AGAGAGAGAGAGAGAGAGAGAGAGAGAGAGAGAGAGAGAGAGAGAGATGGATATAGTTCAATTAGTTTTTTTGTTCATCTGTAAATATATACAAATTTCTCTTTTATATTCTAAGAGGGTTGTAAATCTTAAATATTTTAGGTTGCTATCCCACCTGAAGCTAAGAAAGTCTTTAGAAAATTATTGTTAATAAAGAAGTACTCAAAAATATCGAAAAGTGTACCGTATACCAATAAATTTCCCGTTAAAATGTATGGATTTCTGTTAAAGTCTAGAGTTTCCCGTTAAGGTGTATGGATCTCAGTTAAAGCGTATGGTTTTCCGTTAAAGTGTATGGTTTCCTGTTAGAACGCATTTACATTTAAATCAGGTCGAAAAATGATTTGCTCTAAAGCCTACTTAATATGCAAACATGATATGATTTTCTTATTCATCGTATATCAATGATATTATAATGATAATAAATTAATAAAATAAAAAAATGAAATATTTCATATCATAAAGGGTATGTAATTCATTAGCTTAGTAGTTAAATGGCAGGGTTACCGTCGCACTGTAATACTTATCCACTGTTACTAAAATTCAAGAGCAAGATTAAATTGCAATTTACGGCAACACTGATGCGCGAAATGACGACGATCTGTAAATTAACGCGACTACAAGAGTTTAAGAATATTTAAGACATCGAAAACTGTTGAAGCTCAAGGAAAAAAATGTGCACAATAAACGAATTTTCATTGCAAAATAACGGTCAAAGAGGTGTAAAAACTAGAACTATTGAAATATTTGCTATAGGCGTAAGCAAAAAGGAAAAAACGAAGATTTTCCAAGCGTGTGAGAACAAAATGGAAAATTTTGAGTGAAATGCAAATGCACGGTACATTTTACGTGTGTGTACTGAAATGCTGGCCGTTAAACCGTTATGTCTATTTGGTTATTAAAACTAAATTGATAGAAAAGAATTGAGCCATAAAGAAAAAGTTTATTTAAATAACAATCAAGCACCAAATTGCAAATAAAAAATCGATTAGAAATGAGCATAAAACGCAAAGAAATAACAGCTGTAGCAGACAGCTGAGTTGACGGTATTGTACATCTTATCTCTCCTACTTATGTATTTGTTTTGTATCTGTTTTTTGCATTTTTTTTCTCTCTTTTTTTATTCTTTTTTTGCAAATTCTCAAATTTCTTTATTTTCTCTCTTAAGAAAAAGGTTATTCCTATGCGTGTATGCGTGTATGCGTGTATGTAAGGAAAGTGTATTTTAAGTAAAGCAAAATTGTTTAAGTTATTCTAAGTTTAGAGTGCACTGTCTTAAGTGTAATATTTCTTTTAAAAAACTTCTTTTAATTGCTCTTCTTTTTTTAATTGCATTTATTTATATATGGCAACTTTATATGCAAATCAAAGGACATAATAATGACAATCTAAAAATGAGGAAATCGCAATATTTTACAACAAAGCTAATTTATTATTGTCCAAATAAATTTTAACCCGTTTAAAAGATGGTAAGTAATTAACAAAATTTTAAATTCAGCTTTAACTACATTTTGTGATTTGCTTTAACTTTAATGTAATGTAAAAAGGGTTAAAATTAACTTTGCTGTAAGGAAATTTGCTTTGTCTCCTATAAATCAATAAAGTATTCATATCAAGATATGAGAGTATGCTAGTTTTAACATCCCTTCTGTCAATTTTACATTACCTGTCGAAATTTCGTGTAGGATACATATTTTTACTTCAGCAATGATTTTCAGTTGACTTGTAATAAAAAATTAGGTAACGATGAAAACGTGGACAGTGAATGTAGCTAACTGACAGACATGTCTTATTTCAAATTATCAAAAAAAAATTTAACATAGAGGACAATAGAATAATTAGTTGTTAAAAAGTGAAAAAAAGCATATATGCAAGTCTTGAAGCATGCTCGCATTGCATCGAATTTAAGATCAATTATCTAAAGCTGAAAAATAACGGAATTCCATTGTCTTCCATTATTCGAATTATTATTAATACAATATACTGTGAATCTTACGGAAGCCCAAGGCCTAAGAGATTCAATCAAGATATTGCCTGCAGGTTGTATAAACTGTTGGCGCAGATTAAAAGCAAAGTTTATCGGCAAAGTAATGTACGCGGGTAAGAATTATGACGACATAATCTACTATAGAAATGGTCGTTTAAAGTAATATTCTTATTACTTCTGATGCTTTTGTATTTCATGGTCTGGGAAACTGGGAAGTTTTAAATATAAACTATCCTTCGGAAATAGTAATAATATGTTAAATGATTATGATTTCATTGATTTAATTAAATGGCGAGTCTTCGAAATTCGTCTTAAGGCCAACATACCTTTTCTATTTAATTTACATGCTCATTTCGGTACGATATATGCCATCACCTTGCAGTTCATTTATTTATTTTTTTTGATTTATTTAATTTTATTAAATAACAATTGCTTAGCTTTTACAGAAACAGCAAAAAAAAATTAATATCAAGTACACAAATTATTTCTTCAAATATAAAAATATCAAGTACGTGCGTTTATGTATGTATATGTGCCATCAAGGCTACATTTTATGGCCTTTCAAAGCAAAGAGAAAATGTTACAATTTATTAAAAAAAGAACCTCCGCTTAAACACATAGGCGTTTATGTAAAAACCTACAGGGTCAATAACGCGGAAGAAGGCAAAGTAGAATATGTAACTATCGTCTTTGTTAACTCATATATGTGTGATAACTTAAGAGCCTTCTTTTCATTTTTTTTTTTTTTTTAAAGCCAATGCAGAGGTTTCCAACTTTTGTGTACTGATGTAAATTTAAGAAAATTTAAATTATATTCTAATTATAAATTAACCATCAGTTAAGTTAATTAATAATTTAGTAATAGGTTGCAAAAATTTGTATCCTTTACTTCTCGATGGTATTTAATGTTAGATTGATGGGGTGTCGTTAAATTTACGAGTGCCGTTAGTCTGTTAATACGTTCTGTGGCTACAGTCAAACTGTTTATAATCATCGATTTGATCTATATTCGGTTTTCTAATTCAATTTCACTTACGTTATAAATTCCAATAATAAATTTTCGTGATTAAATCGTTTTGGAATCTTATTGTGAACAAAAACGGAAGCACAAGTTTGTTTACTTTGGTAATAAATATATAAGAAAAACCTATAAACGGATTAAACAGAATATTTTAATATTTAAAAAAAAAAAATAAAACAAAGATTTACTATTGAAATTACGGGGTTGCGCTTAAGTAAATATGGGTGATGTCAAACATCACGAAAAATGAATTGATCTCAGCATGCGCTGTTGTGTGCCTAAATACAATAAACATTTGAATCGTGAGCGTGACGAGAGGAGATGTTTGGCATATTTTACTTCACTTCCGGTACAAGAGTATATTAAGTTTGTGCGGATATATGCGCAGCACGGAAGGAGATGAAATGAATCCATCTTTTGTTAAATCAATCGATTTAGAATCATTTTCGGGAATCAAAATAAACTTGTCTGTCCGCCTGTCCGTTTGCTATTCTTGAGTTTAACCTCCGGGTTGTAATTTTTTTGAGACGTTTTGATGAAATTTAGTACGCTGATGTATTCTGAACCCAAAACGATCGCTACGGAAATGGCCTTTTTCGGCCACTTCCCTTATATTTAAAATAGTTGTTATTTAATAGCTTTAGGTCGGCGTAGAACATTTAATGGTGGCTCCTCATCCACTATAGTGTTTTTACTTCTTGTCATAAAGACTAGGGACATACAAACACACTTATTTGTTATTTAATATTGAGTAACTACTATTCATTTTGCTCTGTAAGCAATTTTATCTGAGCATACGAAATGTCCAGATATATCGACAGTCTAAACCGAAACGGAGCCCGCGCCAGGCAGAATCTGTGGCTGAGCGATCGGTCGGTGAAGTGGTTGTATACGAAAAAGATTCAGCATTTTTTTTTAATAGTGGGTCTGCGTGTGCAAAGTGTTCTAAGCAATGAATATGAATAAAATAAAAGAGGTAACATTATAGTGGGACAACGCCGACTTTTGCATACCTTGCACCACTCCGCTTAGTACACTTATTTGCTCGTTTTGGTAATAATCCTTCAAAAGGTACGCACTATTTTCACGCAAAGCCATAATTGTCATGAAAATCTGTATATTGATAGGTTTTCTCCATAGAAGAGTTTCGTGAGACCGTCTATCTAAGTTGGAGTCCAAAAAAAAGTAAACTTTTGTGATCCAAATTCACTATCGTTAATTTGTGTACTGAAGCGCTACTATGAATTAGTTTTCATCATAATAGATTAAAAATGAAACCTTTTTCCGAAAGACTTACTACTCATGGGACATCTTATGTGGAGTACGGCCAGGAAATAGATCCACGTGGTTGCAATTACAAACAAATTTTCATCACAAAATAAATTCGCAATTAGGTTTTCTTTGGCATGTAAGGGTCAACGATTCATGACAATCCTTATATGTGGTGGTATCGAAAAAATAGATCCACGTGGTCGAAATTCCGTAATGTAGATTTCTTTGTCAGAAATTTCTTTGAGCTAATTATACCTTACATTACTTGTACAGGGTATATTAAGTTAGTGCGGACGTATGTAACACTCAGAAGGTCTTAAGATAGATCCACTTTTATTTATACCTATCAATTGAGAATCATTTTCTAAATCGCTATAATCTTGTCTGATGTCTGTCGTAATTTTTGAAATATTTTGATGAAAAATGGTTTACAGACGCACTTTCATCCAATTGAAAATGTCTCGGATCAGTTCACTTTTTGGACTGCCCTCCATGTGACGCCTTATATTGAAAAGTCTTTCTAAGGAAGAAAATTGCAATTTCCAAAATCTCTCGGTAAAAACGACGAAGTAGTAGTACTTCGTTACTCCAAATCGGTGTGAAAACTCCACACTGAAATCCCAAATTTAAAGAGTGAAGTAAACGTTCAAATGAAAAAGTTCGTTTATTCTTGTCCGCCCGTAGAGCTCTTATTGGAAGGTTTTCGGTCAAAACAATGGAGAGCGGCAATTGAAACTAGAGTAAACTCTTTGTTGATCCTGGAGCAACTGCGGAAGCAGGCGTGCGGTGCTGATAGCCATGCCTACACCGGGTAAAAAACTATAACTTACAATGTATATTAAAAGTTTAAGAATCGCAAGCTAAAAGGTCTTAAAAGAGCGGTTGTGTTCCACGGTATATACGCTTTCCATTAGCTACATTCATGTCAGTTAACTGCTGATCATTGACATTTACATTGATCGGGTGTGAAATTTCCAATGGAATTGACCAGAGAATAATTCGCAATAATGCTTTGCGCGTTTCTTTTAGGTTTTCAAAAATTATGTAATAAATGTTTTTGTATATTCATTAATATACTTGCCAAGTGATCTTAACTGAATCTTACATCAATTTTTCGGCTGCTGTCAGAGATTCAGCAAGCGAGGCTGAACGCATTCAGAAGATGATGCTGATTTAGCCTTGTTTGCCTGTTTTGGCCCAAGGAGAAACGCTATTGAAAATGATTTAGATCGGTTCACGGTATATGAGTAACTCTAAGATGATGTAGGGTATTTCATGATTTACTTGTTTTTATTTAGCCTGCTTTCCATTTTTTGTTGTGCTCTCTCTCCGAGTATGTTATTGTATTTCTGCTGTTTATAGCATACACCTATGACGTACATAATAAGAAGTGGCTTTATTTCTTATTTGGCGAGCTGCAGCTAAATTGTTGGCAACTAACTGCGCACAACATCCATTTTTCTGCTAACTATGCTCGAAACATTGTCGAAGTGTTTGCCCGCAAACGCTAAAGAAAAAACGGTTATTAAAGCGAACTATATTAGTGGCTTGCACTAAATGCGAAATATAGCAGAGCATAGAATTATGCGGTAACTCAGGGAGCTTTTGAGGCATAATCTGCGCAATGTTGAATTTAACTTATGAAATTATTGCCAAGAACATTAGTAAGCATTGAAGCAATTTTCGTTCTTCCAGACATTGCAACAAAATTCTCAACCGTTACTGCAAAAACCAGAGCACATATGTACATTACAATTTGGATATAGTTCATTCCAATAACGGCTTACGCAGCCACGGCCTATTTACTACGTGACATTCATTTGCAAAACTTTATGAAAAAGTTAGTTAACACCAGACCTAGCGATCAGGTGCCTGAAGAAATTAATATCAAAAATATTTAACTTTATTAAAGCGACTAGAGTAACCATCTAGTCTACCTGTTAAGACAAGTGAAAACGTTATAGTCGGGCTAGGCCGACCGTTAAATACCTTACACCAAATTCGACCACAGAAATCATACTCTGTTTTTACATCAACCAACTATTGCGAAACTGCATGTTAAAAAGTAGACCTTCTTGCAAAGCAGATCCTTTTCGTAAGAATGGTTGCGCCCAAGATATTCGAAAATTGAGGTACGTGTGCAAAATTCGGCACACTGAACTTTTATATCAAGTTTACGTTATGGATCAACTTTCATCATACCATATTAAAATTCAAACCTTTCTGCCCTATAAAGGACCAATTTTCTACCCTATAAAAAGAATCAAAAAAATAGGCCGAGATAGTCCAAATTTGGTAAGGTTAATTTTTTTTATCTTAAATTACTATTATGATCTGATTTTCATTAAAAAAAAAAATTTACTTCACTTTTCGTTATATAAGAGGGGGTTCAAAAATTGTCCCAACAAAGTTTTCATACCAATTAAGGATGCCGAAATACTATTACTTGCTCACTTTGAAAATGACAATTTTTATCAAATAACTTTTCAAAATTGGGCGTTATATTGGGAGTAGTCCGTTCCGACGTCAGTGTACCAAATTTCACCAAAATGGCTCAAAAATTGCAACCTGGGGGGTGAACGCAAATTTACATGGCCAGACATCAGACGGACAGGCGGACAGTTAGGCTCAGGTCAATTCGTGTTATGATTCTGAATCGATCGGTGGGTTTGTATTAAGCGCTTCCGCGTGTTATATACGCCCGCACAAATTTGATATTTCCTGTTGTATAGCTATAGTGGACTAAAAAGAAGAGTCGGTTGCGTTAGTGGCTAGTGCTCGTCGTACATTTTTAGTGCTAGAACTGTTTCTTAGAGAGAACTACCAACGTTTTGCACAAACCTGTTGCTGTTAAAAGGGTCCATTTTTATCTCTCTTTTTGTCGAACTAAAAAATGGAAATAGGAAGGCGACACTTAATATATCCATTCCTTATCCATATACGCGCTCGCAATAGATTGGAAAAATTGAGACAACTTCCTAAAAATTCGCGAAAATTCTTTTATATTTTTGCGTTCAAAGTTATCGATGCCGTTAAGATATTTCGGAAAACCTGCTACCCAAACGCTCGCTAGAAACGCCTGCATGTTCGACCCAAGAACTAGGCCACCTGAAAAAAAATGATTGTACATATTCAAAGGCCTATTTAAACCTATATAAACAGATGTCTTCGAAAATATGTTGAACCTTTATCTGTCTTATAAGCACTTTTTTAGAAAATCAAAAATTAAAAAAGGATCAAAAAGACGTACTTGGTAGTTCTAGTAGGAAGATGAACGCCTGAAAGCAGCAAGGACATTAAAGGATTTGATCTGTGCCAAGAATACCACGTTTTGATTTTTATTCGTCGACAATAGTCGATAGTGAGAGCTACTTAACTGAGTTGGTAATTAAGTTGGACCATCCAGCTTCCAATTACAGTAGTTTTGTTGTTTATATCAGACGGTACGGTACGTTTGATGTCAGAGTCGATAATAACGGGTAGAAAGAGATGGAGACTTAAGAACAAGTACATATTTTTTCGAATATTTGAGATTAATAAAATTATGAAAAATGTTTTTTGGACGTTACGCGTGAAGAGACAAAGTTCATATACCTTCTGGTGCGTATAAAAATATAAAAAAAACAAACAACTTTATTTTTTTTGTTTTTCTTTTTATGAAAGAGTAGAGAGTCTGGTTTTTCAAGAGTCATCGTACTTTTATGAGCATATATACACATATAAATATATATAAATATATATATATATGCTTAGTATAAAACGTCTAAACCAAAAAAGGAAACAAATTAAGAAAACAACAATAAGAAGAAAAAGGTTTCTTTTACTGTTTATTAAACGAGTACAGAATACAAAATAACAAACGTATGCACGCAAGTACGTGCACAAGTTCACACACCCGAAGAAAGACACATAAACGCTGAAAATATATTCGTTTGAAAGTAATTTCTTTGTGTTTGTGTCTAACAAAAAAAAGCAAAAAAAAACAAATAAAATTATATTCATCTCTGGCAGAGTTTTCAATACCCACAGTCTCGCCTTGAAGAAAACATTGAAAAAAAGGGCGAATATTGATACTCTTTGACATTGGCTGAGTGCGGTCCATATTTCAACTTCTGTGCCGAGGTTGTACGATGGTCCATAGAATATTCGTTGCGATTAAAAAAAAAATCATTTTTTTATGTGAATTTTTTATATGAAAAATAGCGTTGGCCTCTGATTACGTTGCACGTGTGCGCGTGTCTTCTAAACAATTTGACCCACTTTCCACATCAACCTGTCTGCCAGAAGTTTTAGAGTTTCTACGAAATTTGAAAGCGGGGTCTTAGTTTTTCCGAGCAGGATTATGTTTGCAGTAGACACAGACAGGGATGGATAGACATGTTTTTTTTTTGATCGAAAATTTCAGTATATATACACATATGTATATATATGTCGTGTGAGTGAGTAGTATACATATATATATATATATCATTATGGGCTCTCTAATGCTTGCTGGCGAGTCTGAATGTTGCAAATGTATTGACAAAATGAATATATCGCCGTCCTTCGATGGTGAGCACAAAAGAGAACTTAGTCAAGTTTTTCATTTTGTTTACGTTTTTGGAGTGAGATGATACTCAGTCAGTCAGTCAGTCAGTCAGTCAGGACTTTTCTTCTTTTTTTCTCTTCTCTACAACAATGTACAAAGTTACTAATAAGAGTTACAAGAAAGAAATTGAAAGAAAAGAACTAAATAATTAAATTAAATAAAAAGAAAAGAAAAGAAGAGAAGAGAAAAGAAGTAAAGGAAAACTTTACAATTTTTTAAACTACTTTCCCTTTCATTTCACTGCAATAAAAATGTTGAAATAATGCATTTAAAAAAAAAAAAATTTCAAGACATTTTTGAATTACAGCAAATTAATGGCTTCAGAAAATTTTATTTAATTTGTATGACACGGGGGGGCATATATGATTATATTTACATTCAGTATATTTAACAGAACCAAACTATTTTTAAAATGATCATAAAATCTTGTGCGTCATACAGTAAAATAGAAAACAGAAGTTTCAGTAAAATGTACTTCAACGAATACTATAGACCCGTCTATGTACTTGCATTTCTTATCATTACACCTTACGCGTGAATGGCTGCAACACTCAGAACGGCTTCAGTTAGATCCATCTTTCATTATACCAATCAAAGATTGTCTGTCTGTCTGATGTGTGCTCTTGTATTCTAGACCTCAATTTTAAAGATATTTTAATGAAATTGGAAGCATTGACGTGCTTTAGCTCAAGGACGAGGGCTACTGAAAATGGTTCGAATCGGAGCACTCTTTCGATCAGTCCCCAGAAAATATATTGTAATTGTTAGAATTCCGCAACAAAAATCTCTTAGTAATAGTATTAACAAAGGTGAATGTCGTTGGAATTGTTTGATTTAACCGCAGCAGACTCTTGAATTTGACCATTTTCCCATAGGCAGTGTATGCTAACATAACAAAGTTCCAAAACTTGCCTTTGGCCGAAATTGATCCTTTCATATAGATTCATTAGGTGTCGACTAAAATATTTGACATTTGCTAATTTCGCCGAAGGAGGCTTCAAAGTCCAATCCTATCTTGATCCTAACTACTTGACCATTGGGGTATTTACAGGGCTCTCTAAAGTCGGGGATGGTAGGTGTCTTTGCTAGTTAAATTCCTATTTATCTTCACACCCTTTCTGACCCGATCTAAGCTTGTCTGTCCTTCTTGCTTTCTCTTATTCGACCCACAAGTCGCAATTTTTATGACGTTCTGATGAAATTTGTGTTAGTGTTTTACTTCTTCCTCATTTCACTTGAGACGAAACTTATTCCAAATTGAAAGTTAAATAGAAATTGTTATTACTATTGGGATTAATAATAATTCGCAAGGAATTGTAATGTGTTAGTAAGTCTGTATGTCTCTTGCAGTACGGCATTTATAAATAATTATAAACTTCTACTTGATAACTTAATGCTTTCAATGCAAGTCAGGAGGAATAATCTGATGCATATACTAACTACCTATCTTCACAGAATTTCTTAAAGTACACTTTATTATTACAAATGTAGTAGTAATGCTTAATAACATATACCCTACACTTTCTGTGTGATAAGGGTTTCTGCGACTACACGCAACATGCGAAACTACTTGATATAAACCCCGCTTTTGTTATACTGATCGATTTAGGAACGCATAACGAAAAGAACTTTTAGGATATCGGTGGAAAATGTAAAAAATGAATAAGTCATACTCACAATAAGCCGAATTTTCTAGGTCCTACTCAAATAATAATAAAAAAAATTGCAAGATATTACTTCAATCTGAAATTCATTTAGGAGACGCTAGCGAATAATTGCACTAAATACACCTGAAAATTAGGCCTTCCTTGTTTATTGTGGACGCAAATGTGAAAGATTGGGCGCAAACTTCAGATTGGATTATCAGTTATCGACTACATAAGTCGAGTTTCGGCTTTCTATACCGATTTGTCGAAACTTGGATGGACGGCTGAATCGATACATAAATCATCTTACGCCCGTCAAGGGTGTATATATGTATACATTTTCGAATTTTAGATATGTATTTCCTGGTATTATAAGGAAAAACATAGATACCCTATAAATTTATGAAAATTAAAAAATGAACAAACCAACTCAAAACCAAAATTAAGATCCGTAGATCATTGTAAACGCCTACGCTCGCACAATTCGTTTGTATAAATTTATAGGTCCGCGGGCAATCATTTTTTTTCAAATTCTTATAAAATTGTTGTTTTGAATCTGTTTTATTTGATTTGGGATTTTTAGCAAACTTTAATAAAAAAAAAAAAAAAAAATTTAATTTTGCCTATGTATTGCAAACACACACACACACACATCGCATACAAATATATATACATTTATCTCACTACATAGGTGCAGACTGCAAAGAATGTATTGTGCACTAAACAGCACATAAAAAAAAAAAAAAAAGAAACAATCGAAAAACAAACAAAACCGTGAAGTACAACATATATCTGAACTGAATAATGAACTTGAGTACAATGAACCGCACGATAAGCGAGAGTAAAATGTATGTAGACAGACAGACATGCAGACAAATGGACAAACAAGCCAACCGACCAACATGAAGTAAATTATCTCATCTAACCCCCCCCCAGAGCAAAATAAGCTGGAAACATACACACATATATACATATATATATATATATATACACACACAACACACAAATATACTTACATACACATACATACACATTAAATTACTAAAGTCTCAACTTTAAGATGAACAGCTCGCACGAGATTTTTGTTGTTGACTGGT